CATTCGTGACTCCTCCATATCTGTCTTTGCTTGTGTTCTAATAGTTGCTTTGGGTCCTATTCAGTTTGGTTTCACTGTAAGAATCACTTTTTCTAACATATTTGATGATAAAAGCAAATGGGATTTTCATACAAATGAAGCTTCATCATAATTTTGATAATTTGTTACAGGCTGGTTATACATCACCTACCCAACATGCTATTATCACTGATCTTGGACTCTCAGTCTCTGAGGTATGAATCATGAATGAGTCTGTTGATCTGGTTCCATATTTTTGTGTTTCACAACTTCATTGTTTATTGGGCAGTTTTCTTTATTTGGCTCTTTGTCCAATGTGGGTGCTATGGTTGGAGCAATTGCTAGTGGTCAGATTGCTGAGTATATAGGGCGCAAAGGGGTAAATTCCCCCCCCCCCCCCTCTTTTCTGGGTATATTATGCGTGTTTTTCTTTTAATTTCAATCTTTGAGAGATAAGGCTAACTCAATGGTCAATGGGCCCTTTCATTTTCTTGTTCAAAATTGAAGTCTTTGATGGTTGCATCCATTCCAAACATTATTGGTTGGTTGGCTATCTCATTTGCAAAAGTAAGTTTGGATCATTTCATTTTCCCACATCTGTTTAGTCCATCCAAAGGTAAATAAATTTCGGTCATGATCCTGAGCTTGTCTTGTTGACATGTTCATCTCTCAGGATACCTCTTTTCTCTATATGGGAAGATTGTTGGAAGGGTTTGGAGTGGGAATAATATCTTATACGGTAATTTTAAAGTTGTTTTTGCTTTTGGTATTGCGGGATTAAGTTATGTGCTGCACAATTATTGAGTGTTCAAACCTAAATTTACAGGTGCCAGTGTACATAGCTGAGATATCACCTCAAAACTTGAGGGGGGGTCTGGTTTCGGTTAACCAGGTTGGTTGATACCGCCAAGAGTTAGAATTACATTGATGAGATATTAACAGTTTTACTACTTCCTAAATTAGTGAATTTTATTCTTTCTTTTCTGCATAGCTCTCTGTCACCATTGGGATTATGCTGGCTTATCTGCTGGGGCTTTTTGTTCAGTGGAGAATCCTGGCAATTTTAGGTAATACCCATATATGACTTGGCCAGTTGGTAAATTACCCTCTTCCTTCAAATGAATGGATTTCTGTTTCTTGTAATTATCAAATGTCATAAAAGTAAACTTGGAGAGATATTTAGTAAACTAAGTTCTGGTTAAATCACAATCACGTGTCTCAGATTTAGTCTAAGCTTGGAGTGTTGACTAGGGTTAAAGCCCACGCACTGCTTTCAGATCAACCGAAGAATTACATTTATTGACTTTTACTTAAGGGAAAAGACATTCCTGTATAATGCTGACTTGCATGTTATGTAAGAAATTTTTAACTGAGCAAGTCTATGCCCTTACTCTTGCAGGAATTTTACCATGTACGTTATTGATACCTGGCCTATTTTTCATTCCCGAGTCTCCTAGATGGCTGGTAAGCTTTGTGAATCTGTATTCTTGAGTGTCATTAAATATGCGAAGATGGTTTCTACAAGTGAGCTTGTTTTGCTGTACATAGGCAAAAATGGGAATGACTGAAGAATTTGAAACTTCCTTGCAAGTGCTCCGAGGCTTTGATACTGATATTTCTGTTGAAGTGAATGAAATTAAGGTAATAAGCATTCATCAGTTTTGTTCCAACAAATGACCCTCGTATTTCCTGATGTCCAATATCTTTATTACCATTTAATGAATCATGAAATTGACCTTTTATGTGCGAGTCATTTGATTCAGAGGGCTGTTGCTTCAACAAACAGAAGAACTACAGTTCGATTTGCAGAACTCAAACAAAGAAGATATTGGCTTCCCTTAATGGTTTGTATTTCTTATCTATCTAGAAGCATTAGTTTCTATCCATCTGCCTTATGGAGTTGGATTGTATAACAATGACCATTAGAGCCTAACCAGTTTTCACTAACTCATCCTGTAGATTGGAATTGGACTGCTTATTTTGCAACAGCTTTCTGGAATTAATGGTGTTCTTTTTTATTCCAGTACCATCTTCCAGAGTGCTGGTATGCTCTGCTGATTTCTTATAAATATTCTGAAGTAATGTACCAGGAGCAGTAATAGGGAACCGTGAAACATTTTGGCCAGAGTTGATATCTCACATTTGTACTACTTAAAATAGCACACTTTTAGTCCAGAATCATGTATTAGAATTATTGAAGAGATGAACTCAAATTTATAAATAACAGTTAATAAAGCCAACAATTGTATGGTAATGAATAGTCACCTTAATGATCTGAATTTTCTTGGGTTATGACAAAGAACCTAGCTGATTTCTCCTGATTATTTTTTGGGATATCTTCATGTTAGTTATTTATACTGGTCTTATGCTTACACACAGAAAAGGCATGTTTGCAGATTGGGTTCTGCTTTAGTTTTTGTTCCATTAAATATAAAATATTATGCTTTTATTCTCATAATTTTAACTCATATTAAACAGGAATTAGCTCAAGTGATGTAGCCACATTTGGAGTTGGTGCTGTTCAGGTTCAGCTGAGAGAAAACTTGTAATATCCCTTTTTTCTGTCCAATATTCTGAAATCATAATCTGACAAATATATACATGTCCCTAGGTTCTTGCTACCAGTTTAACCTTGTGGTTGGCAGACAAATCTGGTCGCCGGCTTCTCCTCATTGTGAGTGAACTTCTCTATCATGTTTCATTACATGTGACTATTTATTTGGAGGATTATAAGAGAATGGTCATGTCTTCCATTGTAGATCTCTTCAACTGGAATGGCTTGTAGTCTCTTAGTTGTTGCAGTCGCATTCTATGTAAAGGTAATAATATTTTTTGTATTTGTTGCTGTGTACTCATCAGACAATGTTTTATTAAATGCGTGTACATGTCTGCCCCGTGTGTTCAAAAATGGGTACCACAGCCTCTCTGAATAACTTGCGACCTGTTCTTTATGTTATTCTGAAATTTGCTCCCAGGCTTATGTATCAGAGGATTCTTCTTGGTATGGGATATTGAGCATCTTGTCCCTGGTTGGAGTTGTGGTATGTGAATACACACAAATTCATTACACAAAAAAGTTTTTGATGGCTTCTTTCTGTAACTATTGTCTTTTAAATTTCCACTTCTTTCAGGCCATGGTTATTGCATTCTCTTTGGGAATGGGAGCTATGCCATGGATTATAATGTCTGAGGTACCATATTTTGTAGTTTTACACTTATACATTTTAGGCTCTTTTCCAAAGTTCTGGAATATGCTGCAAGCCTGCAACCATGATATGCATGACAATCTTATAGGCAAAGCAGTAAAGAAGCATTTAGAAGTCAATAATTTGTTTATAGACATGGTTTATTACAGAACATTATGGTACCATTTCATACATGTAGTCAAACCCACATAGTGGAAAAAAGCTTGTGCATATATGGTTCGGCTTATTTTGGAGAAATAATCACTTATTTCTTTCAGCTTTCTAAGAGATCTTTTAAAAGTAAACAATTATTTTTCTAATTTAAACTGAACCAAACATGCTATTAGTAGTAGTTGTTGTTACTCATCTTTACTCCTCTGCCCCTTCCCAAAAGTCATGGTTCTAGCTGGCTAGTTGCTTTTGCCCTGACGCCCACTCAAAGGGATATTGGCCAACCTATCAAGTTATGTCCGTAGGAGTAATGAAATTAGAATCCCCGATGAGACAAATACACTTATTTTGGTACCAAAAAATAAAAAAATGAAACTAACATATTAGTCTTTGTTTGAAGTGCTATAAGTCCAAATTTACTTATACTTACACCAGAACGGGAATCTCAAGAGAAGAGTGTTACTAAATTTAAGATGCATCAATGTGGCACAAATCACAACATTTTTTTGCAGATATAACTGAATGATTGCAGTTGCCCATAACACAAAAATTATTAAAATAAAAACAGTAGTCTTTATTATTGGTTGCATTTGAAGTCACAGTTGATGTGTTCAATTATTGCAAATCACAGATTCTTCCAATAAATATCAAAAGCCTTGCGGGGAGTGTTGCAACACTTGCCAATTGGCTCTTTTCTTGGTTGGTTACATTGACAGCAAATTTGCTCTTGGACTGGAGCTCTGGAGGTTTGTGTGTATTGCTTTTAATATTTTTCTGTAATTTTTTTTGTTATTTGTAGTTAACCACAAACTACCTCTGTTCTTATCAGGAACCTTCACCATATACACAGTAGTATGTGCTTTGACCGTAGTATTTGTTACCATTTGGGTGCCTGAGACAAAGGGAAGAACTCTTGAAGAAATCCAATGGTCTTTCAGATGAAGTTTCTTCTCTAGCAGCTTTTGGTTTATTTTCATGCTGATTTCATATTTTTACATTGTAATATATCGTGTGATGCAAGGATTCATATTTTGATTCCTTCGCTTGAAAGTGGAATCCTTGGAGTTTTGGATGAATTGATTCCTTAACATGCACTTCATGTAGTGCTCCTGTATGGACCTTGTAACTGTTCCTCTAATTCAATTCATTTGTATGTTCTTTTGGTTTGTTAAAAAATGGAAGCCAAATTAGTATCATTATTTATATTGTATGTTGAAGAACTTAACTGATATGGTCAAATAAAAGCATATAAAAGTAAAGAAATCTTTACCTTATAAGTTAGTTTTGGGATTGAGTTTATCATAAGTCCACAAATTTAAGATGGCCTACTTGCACTTGTATTGTGATCATAAATGTTAGATGAGTAGCTGTTTAAGGTTATGTTGTACCGATATTTTTGCAAAAGAGCATTGTGAGACCACTTAAAATCACCTTATTTAGATATTTTAAACAAACATTTTAATCTTTTTTTTTAATTTTAAAAAATCATTAGGAACAATTATTTACGATAATTGTATTATTTAATTATAATTGTGATATTTTTGTATTATATATATATATATATATTTTAGAAATTTTTTTTTTTTGTAAAGTTATTATTGGAATAATATTTTTTTTTAGATTATCATAAAATATTTAAAATGACATTCACAGATATAATTATATTTTACTTAATATATGTTGTCATACTCATTTTAACATTTTCAAATTTTATCGTATTTACGATTTGAATGTTATCGTGCTTAATACTCGTACCTGCATCCATGTAACGTAGGTTTAAGGTATTTTTTTCTCCTTTGCTGAAACGTATTTGGATTTTTTGTTGTTGTTTGCGGCAAGTTTAAGTTGTAGGAAAGTGAATCATGTATTGGGTGGTGTTAACTTCGTGTTGAAGGGAATCAAACAACCGTATCAAAGGAAAAATTTTCTCCACTAGTCTGAAATGTGTCTCGGGGCGTTTCTCTTTTTGTATTGTTGAAATCGAGTAAATTCTCAACCACAGACTTGATATTGTAATGTGTGTCAGCACAACACGTAATTTAACAGAGGGAAATGAGTTGTAACAACTTGTAAAGTAGATGCTCCAAGGAGGCGTATCGTGAAATGAGAATATGAGGTCACAGGGGGACGTCACGTACATGTCTAGACTTGCAAAGTTGCAATGATTCTCAGGTTGTTCACACTCAATATTCCACTGGTATGCTGTAAATACTGGTAGTGCACCCGAAAGCATTTTCTGTAGCTCGGAGACAATGTATGCTTTATTTGGGATGTTCGAATTTAATTAAAAGTGTTTACAAAATAGCACTTTAGGGTGTCTCATCATGACACGCTTTCCAAAATAAGATCATCAGTTGTGATTACTTTGATGCAATTATTCTTCCGTATTAATACGCTTGGATTATTTTTTCGTAGTGACAGAAATCTAAAAGCCACACAAACGTACCCTAATTAAGATTAAGAGTGCTCACTAAGCAAATGAATTTTAGGTAATTTAGTAGATTTATATAATCTTTTCATGCTATTAAGTATAATAATGTTAGAAAGAGAGACATAAAATTTATCAACTTTAATTAAAGGATCTACAATCAATCAAGATGAAATCTTATTTGATAAAAATTATATTATCTTTTTAACATGATCATATCATATTGATAAATAATATGAGAGGATAAAAACTTCATTTATATTAAAGAGGGAATAAAAAATTAGTTAAAAAATTTCTATAGGAACCATGTTTAAAGTATTTTGTATAAAGCTAGCAGGAAATGGAATTTTATTTGACTTAATATATTTAAGGCCTATCATGTAAGCTTCATCAAACAAACTGATCATGCTCTTCGTTTCGCGATATTTATTTAGTAATAAATACGTGGTTAATATGAATTGGTGGTAGAGATCATAATCCAGACTCGGGTGGCACATAAACTGATTTCACCAAATGTGCCAGAAAAGTGTTGTGAAAGGTGCAGCAACAACTAACTAGAGAGAAGGCCAGAGAATTCTCAAGTATGTAACTAATTACAAGCACTGCACATTTTTAAGAGGGGAAAAATCGTCTGGAAGACGAGCATAACAGACTTGCATAGGGGGCAGAACAATTCTAAGTCCTACATCCTTTTCTATTCTTCTTACTAACCAACCTTCCTATTAAATTATGGAAATATTGAATTTATTTAAGATTTTTAAGATATTAAACACATTTACGTATTTCTTTTCGTTCAATACCTTCCTTCATACGAGTATTAGGAGGTTATTGTGAAAGGATATAACATTACCCACTTGCACATTATACACCATGAGAAAGGCAATGTTTTGCAGCTAAAAAATCAGGAAGGAAGTATTCACAGAAAAAAATCAGGAATTCCCCATATCATATAACTCCAGATACACAAATCTGACTAAATGGAAAGCAACAATCATCAAACACAAAAGTGCCAGTGAATTACACGATGAAATCTACAATAGCACAAAAGGATGGGACAACGGATCTGGATGCCAATGAAGGGTACCCTGAATTCAGTGTCTAACCAGTAAGTGACTGATCTGATCTATGTGAGTATTTCCACCGGATACCTATCAATGCAATCTTCCCAGGGTCCATTATGAGATGGCCTGACATTTCGCAGTGCTTGCCAAACAGCACTGTTACATTTAAAACCACTTCCAAACGCAATTTGCCAAACCCTGTTACCCTTCCTCATCCTCCCTTTGGCTTCAATGTAAGCCAACTCATACCAAATGGAGCTTGAAGAAGTGTTCCCAAATCGGTGAAGCGTCATCCTAGAAGCCTCTACATGCACAGGGAGCAGCTGCAGGTTCTTCTCCAACTCATCAATCACTGCCCTGCCCCCGGCATGTATGCAGAAATGATCGAAAGCAAGCTTAAAATCCGGTATATAAGGCTTCACATCAGCCTTAAACAACTTCTTCATGAGCAAAGTAGCGAAAAACAGAAGCTGCTCACTAATAGGGAGCACCAGGGGGCCAAGGGTGGTGATATTGGTCTTAAGAGCTCCACCAGCAATCGCCATCAAATCCTTAGACAACGAAACCCCAGTCTTCCCAGCATCATCCTGCTCCTGATAAACACACCGAAATGCCTTATCATCAGCACCACGGTGGGTCCTCACAACATGTACAAGCCTATACTTCGCCCTCCTCCTATCCGCAGGCTTGTTAGAGAGCAACAGTGCAGAACATCCAACGCGGAACAAGCAATTGGGAATAAGCATGGACTTCTTATTCCCAAAGTACCAATTTTGAGTAATGTTCTCAGTGCTAACAATAACAGCATAAGTGTTCCTATGAACCTGCAACAAGTCTTTAGCAAGATCAACAGCAATCACGCCAGCACTGCACCCCATTCCACCCAAATTGAAGCTCCTGATGTTACCCCTCAACTTGTACTTGTTAACAATCATGGCAGAGAGGGATGGGGTGGGGTTAAACAAGCTGCAATTGACGACAAGAATACCAATATCCTTAGGTTTTAGATTGGTATTAAGGAAAAGGTTATCCAAGGCGCCAAACATGACCTGTTCGGCCTCGGCTCTTGCGGCGGCCATGGAAGGGCGAGGAGGGATGAAATGCATGGCCTCGGGGACGTAGGTTTCTTCGCCGAGACCGGAGCGTTCGAGGATCTTGCGCTGGAACTCGAGGGAGGAATCTTCGAAGTCGCCGGTGAGACGAGAATGTTCCATGAAGCTGTGGAAGGGGGCTTTAAGGTGATCGGCGGGGCGGAAGCAGGAGAAATCGACGAGGTAGACGGAGCGTGGGCGCGTGACAGCGTAGAGCGTGAGACCGAAGACTAAGAAAGCGGAACATGTGAGGATTGTGAGGAGGTTGTATTGGAGGTGGAGCCACACGTGGCGGAGATGGTCAAGGTCGGTGGTTTGGGAGACTTGGATTAGCGTGATGAGGATCAAGGGAACAAGGAATAGGGTGAGTAGGTTGGAGATCAAGTAGTGGTACCCTAATTTCACGTACTTAAGATTCACGCTCTGTAGGAAATCTGGCAGCACTATTCTACTCTGCTGCTGGATCTGAACACCCACGGCGCCTCCGGTTGTGACTGTCATCTTTGGAATGCGAATGAGAAGCCAGAGAGAAGGTGGGTGGATGAGTGAGTGAATGAATGAATATAGATGCGTTTTGGTTGGGGTGGTGTGTCTTTTTTCGATAATGTGTCCAAATTGGCGAAGGTAAGAAGAAAGTGGCACAAAAGAATGAGAAGAGAAAAGGAGTAGGGAAGTTATGCTTTGCGTAGCTTCACTGTCACTCTGGACTGTTACGAAAACGGTTATTTCACTGCTTCGTACACTGGGCGGCAACTGGGACTCTAATCATCTTCGGGCTCGGTGGGTGGGCACTGAGGTGAGAACTGGGGAGCGGAACGAATATCACCTCTGCCAGCGTACGTGCTGACGCATGTAATATCTTTTTTTTTCTGGGATTTAATCTAAACCACAGGCTTCTATTTTTTTTTTTCAAATTAAAACTAATAATGCATGTTTATGACTAAATCGAGAACCAATTCACTGATCGTATTATGTCATAGTCTGACAAGGAAGCGAAAATAAGAAAAACTTGAGGAAAGAAAACAGATCCCTATAATTCAAAATCCGGACTTGAAAAAGCCTTGGTTGTGATGATGTAAGGATGGAAATTTCTGGTGAGCAGAAATTGTTGATTCAAATCAAATGGCCAAAATGGAAAATGAAATTCTTGATTCCGAAGACAAATCGATTTTTCCAATCCAAGGGAAGACAATTTAGCATCGCTACGTCATTTGTGTCATTTTCAACAAGTGTTATCAAATTATTATATGCACCACGCGATTTTTTTAGGTCCATATTTTAGTACAGAATGATATCTGCACAAACATTACTTTCATAAACTCTTTATTATAGACTCACTTATCTAAATCATTTGAAAATTTAATAAAAATAATATATATGCAACTATCAGTACTATTTGATATGATAATAACTACAACAAAATTCTTATTATTCGATCACACTAAGATTGTGATTGAAAAAGTAAACGTGCGATAGAGTAAAATCCAAGGAGAATTCTTGAAGTGCAGAAAATGAAATACAGTTCACCTCATTAAAATATGTACAACTGACAATCAATGCTTACCAAGTCAATCCAGGGGAAAATGCCAACCACCCGCAGCAATGTTTGTAAATTACCTTCATAATTCACATGCATATAAACTACTTAGAACAATTCAAAAGGGAGCATCATTAGCATATAGAATCCACAATCACCAAAGATTTACGTAATCCACATGCCGTCACTGGATTATTTTTAATACATTATTCATTCTTGGATTTTCAATAATTCAATCATGCATTGCATTTGCACAATGGATGACATAACTTACTAACAATTTCGTAGCCAGAATTGTCCAAGGAGAAAAAATTATATCAACATTAATTTCAGTATAATAGTATTTCCAACTACCCTGACTCCTTTATGTTTCCCGTTGACGCTCTATCTGTATCTAAATCTGAATCCGAACAAAATCATTTCGCATGACTGGAGACGTCAACGTGTGATTTTTTTTCTTCTAACATACCAATGAATAGTCACAATACAACCATATGTTACCAATTAAATATGAATCAATTCATCAACTTTATCAGAATACCCAATAAAAGTTAAGACATAACTGCCACACAGTACATCCCAGCCGACACATAACTATTACTGGAAGAGACAGCATTGAGTTCAGAAAAATGTAGAGAGCAAAGGTCAAGTTTCATAGATTAAACCATTACGTAGCACTTAGCAGTCCTACAAGGTGGAACACAGTAGCTCAAGCTACAGGGCCTCCTTTAAGAGTTTTTCAGTCAGACCTTTGGGAAGTCCCATCACACTATCGGTTGTCCCTACCTGCAAATACACATTCAGTCATTCACTTAGATTTTATTTACCGTAGACAGGAACTATGATGTAAAATGCCAGCAATCTTGTCCCACCAAGAAACCAGCTAAGCATTTCAGTTCCACTGGACTTGTGCAGGATCAACGAGTTCATTCCTTAGAACTTAAGCTAAAAATTTAGGCAAACACAAAAGTTTCACCAAGATTTCACGATAATTAAAAATTCAGACATGTAACCAACCCCACCAAGTGGAAAAAAGCTTTGTTGTTGTTAAAGAAATCCAAAGTTAAATTAGCTATGGTCTACAGATTTCTAAATCAGTTTTCTAGCTTTTGCTCCAAACACAAATCTCTACCCAGCTAAACTTGAGTCAATTAGAGATTCTTTTTTGATAAGTCAATTAGAGAGACTTTTTTTACAACAATAAAAAAATAAAAAAGTTCTAAAGGGAGAACACTGAATAATGGAATTTGGCCACTTCATATAAAAGAACACCAAATTGCTTTATTAGACCAGATATTGTGCGGCAAAATCTATAAACTAGACTACTAGTGTGCGGACAGGACCCCGAGTCTGACTCGTCCTTGTCCATCAAGGGAGCATGTCCCCGAATGGCTGTAATTAAGATGCATTGATATTTCCAAGCATGAAAGAGGAGTCAACAAACCACTTCTTTGACAAATGGAAATACTAAAGGATGCTCTATAATCAGGCCTCCAGCAACGTTGAGAGTGATTCCCTCATCAACCTAAACAAGAAAAAAAGGAATAAAAGCATATCAACTACAAACAAAAGAAGACAACTCCTACCGGAAGTACTGTCTGTAAAAGAAACATCCACAAAACAACCAATTAAAAGAAACAATATATACCAGCTTCTCAATGGTTTCATTGGGTATTTCATTGAAATATATCTGTAAAACATCACAAGACAAAATCAATTTACACAATGGATTAGAGAGAGAGAGAGAGAGAAAGAGAGAGAGAGAGAGTGCACACTCATATGTGGCTGTGAATATCACTGTTAAGAAATATAAAACTGAAGGACAAGTCCAAGTTTAAAACAAATAGGTTCCTCCCATTAGTATTGTAGTCAAAATAATCAAGAGTTATAAAAGGTTTAAAAATTGTCATCATGGAAACAAGAATCAAAGGAAACAAATCCTATAAGGTAGTAATTGTTTTAAATTTTTATGAGATTAGAATATTGAAATAGCAACAACAGTAGAAAAATTGATAGAAAATCAATTATGGTGGTTTAGACAGAAAAAAAGAAAAAAAGCAATAGAAGGTACTACCTCCGGTCCTTTTTATAAGAAACAAAATGGAGCATTTCCTTATTCCTTATTATAAGGAACAAATGATAGATTCAAAAAGTATTAATTGTTAAATTTCTTTTGTACCCTTCTTTTATTAGTATCATTAATTGTATAAATTACTAATTACAATATTTAATATCATGGGTATTTTTGAAATAAAGTTTATATGTATGAAAAACATAAGTGATTTAATTACTTTCCTTGGTCCAGGAGATTTAGTCTTTTGTTTCTTATAAAAAGGACAGAAGGTAGTATTAGTGAAAAAAATGGATGACATGACTTTTAGTTTGGTGGAAATGAGTAGAAAAAGGCCCAAAAGACTTTGAAAAAAATTATTAAAAAGGATCTAGCAATAAATAATATCTTATAATATTTTTTTAACCCAACTCTAGTGTTATACAATCCATACAAGCAACCTTGTTTAATGGAATAAGGCTTAGTTATTGTTATTGAAATGTGATTGGTAATTGTTAAAATTCTGGAAACAGAATAGCAAAACAACAAATCCCATACAATAGTAATGGTATCAATGTTGTTGTCACCTATTACTTGAAAAGTGTTGATATAGTACTTTGCCACTAAGGTTTCATCTCTGAAGCCCAGATACATGAAAAATGGCAAAGTAGCCATATTGGACACGTATCCGGTATTGGATACGTGTCCGATATGCTTAAATACGTATTCCAGAAGTATCGAAAATTAAATTTATTCTTAAAAATTAAATTTAAACCTGATACGGTTGGAAAACGGCTTGGATACGGCTACAAATAGTCTGATACGGCTTGGAAATGGCTCCAAATCGCCTTGACTAAAAATAGTGGTCAGCTTGATTAAATTTCCAATATTGAAATGAGGAGTTTCAATTTGTCTTTCATTTCCTCACTTCCGCTATTATTCGTGAGTTAGGAACGAAACCAGAACTCATCCAAAAATAAAAAATCATCAAGGGTTTAGAACTCACCCATTTCCCCATTTCCGTCATTGTTTTGTAGTCCGATTCCAGGCTACACAGTTCATGAACTTTGTTTTGAATTTTGGAGCCGTATATTATTGTTGAAATGGAAGGTACCCAAAAAGCAAAGTGAAGAGGATAACCCCGCACAACCATATAGCATGGCGTGAGGAGCATCCCGTTGGATCTCCACTGCTCCGACAAGGCCTTGAGTTCCTCATTCTCGTCAAGGAGGAGATTTTCGGGCTTCAAGTCATAGTGTGTTCTGAACTTTGTTCCTCTTCTCTCTTCTCTGGATTTCAGCAACGTTCTTTCTCTATTGCTGTGGTGGTAAAATCTCACAAACTTCCTCTTTTCTAATCTCTTCTTTTCTATTCATTTTACAACAATAAAGTAAAAATGTTATTCTTTCATTTTTCAACAGCTGTGTTTGATGACAAAAAGATGAATTTTGGTTCTGACTCTAATTTTAGAATTCCAAGTAACTTTGGTTTATTAGAACTTCAAGATGATCATGCTCCACTTTGGGTATTTGTCCCTATAAAGGATAAGTTAGGAGATGGAGGAGGCAACAAGCTATGGAGTTGTAATTTTTGTGACAAAGTGGTCAAAATTTTATACTCAAGAGTGAAAGCACATTTACTTAGAATATTTGGTGCTGGTGTTGCTCTTTGTCCTAAGGTCACTCTTGAGTACTTGGCTGATTTGAAGAAAATTTGTGAAGAAGCTGAGAATAAAATTAAGCCCAAAACTATCCCACTACCTTCAGCAGCTCCAACAACCTTATCCCGAAAAAGAAAAAAAATAGGAAGCAGTACACTAAAAAAGGCTTTCAATGTGGATGAAAGACATCAACTTAGAGCAGAGATAGCAAGAATGTTTTATTCAGCTGGCATATCATTTCATCTTGCTAGAAATCCTTACTATGTTAGCTCTTATTCATTTGCTGCAAACCATAACCTTAATGGTTTCCTTCCTCCTAGTTATAATGCTTTAAGAACTAGTTTTTTACAACAAGGGAGATCTCATATTGAAAGATTACTCCAACTTATAAAATCTTTATGGCTTATAAAAGGAGTTACATTGGTTTCTGATGGATGGACAGATGTTCAAAAAGGCCATTGATAAATTTCATGCTGTAAGTGAAGGAGGGCCAATATTTTTAAAGGCTATTGATGGTTCTAAGGAGTACAAGGACAAACACTACATAGCTAGCATAATAAAGGATGTAATTAATGAAGTAGGGCCATAAAATGTTGTTCAAATCATAATGGATAATGCTCCTGTTTGTAAGGCAGTCGGAATGTTAATTGAAGTTGAGTTTCATCATGTGTTTTGGAATCCTTGTGTCGTACATACTTTGAATTTGGCATTGAAAAACATATGTACAGCTAGAAATATTGATGGAAATGAAAATGTTTTCAATGAGTGTTATTGGATCACTCTCTTAGTTGATGATGCATCTTTTATCAAGACTTTCATAATGACTCACTCTATGAGATTGACTATTTTTAATGAGTTTTCATCTCTTAAATTGCTTTCTTTTGCTGAAACCCATTTTGCATCAATGGTTGTCATGATAAAAAGATTGAAGTTGTTGAAACATGTTTTGCAAAATATGGTCATTAGTAACCAATGGAATAGTTATAGAGAAGATGATGTTGGTAAAGCTGCCCATGTGAAAGAACTTATTTTAAATGATATATGGTGGGATAAATTAGACTATATTCTTTCTTTCACAGATCTTATATATAGCCATGCTTAGAAAATTTGACACAGATACTTCTACTCTTTCTTTGGTCTATGAAATGTGAGATTCCATGATTGAAAAAGTAAAGACAATCATATATAGGCATGAGGAAAAGAAAGCAAATGAGGTTTCCAATTTTTATGATGTGGTTCTTAGTATACTGAATTTTAGGTGGAGCAAGAGTTGTACTCCACTTCATTGTTTGGCCCATTCATTGAACCCAAGGTAAATTTCAACTTAGTTATTGTCTCTTGAAAAATAAAAATCATACTATAACAAATTTTTTAATAATATGTAGGTATTATAGTAAATAATGACTTAGGGAAGCTCCAAATAAAGTTCCTTCACATCAAGATGATGAAGTTTCGAGAGAAAGGAACAAATGTTTGAAGAGATATTTTCCTAATGCTGAGGAAAGAAAAAATGTTTTTGTTGAATTTTCAAATTTCTTATCTTGTGCAGGTGACTTTACTTCTTTTGATTCGATTGAAGATAGGTGGACATTGGACCCAAAATCTTGGTGGGTAATGCATGGATCTTCTACCCTTTTACTTCAAAAGCTTGCTTTAAAGCTTCATGTACAACCTTATTCCTCATCTTGCTGTGAGAGGAATTGGAGTACGTATTCGTTCATTCATTCTTTCAAGAGAAACAAAATGGATCCAAAAAGGGTTGAGGATTTGGTTTATGTGCATTCCAACCTTCGTCTTTTGTCTAGAAAAGAAGAAAAGTATACTAAAGGAGAGACAAGGATGCAGGATATTAGTGGAGATGTACATGATCCACTTGATAATGGTGCTGGATTTCTTGAATTGGCTGAATTATCTCTTGATGAACTAGACTTAAAAGTTATGCTTTTTGTAGACGACGGAAATGGAGAAAATGAGTGTGACAATGTTAGAATTAAATAGTATAAAGGTAGTACATTCTTTTTGTGATAGTTCTATATTTCTTTTGGATAGAACGACCATTTCTTTTGTGGAATTCTAACTTTAATAGGGAGTAAAGTATGTAATTTTTTGATATGTTCATAGAAAAGGAAAAGATATGATCGCATGTATTTTTTTATAAAACATGTTCATTGATATGTAAATATAACACATCAATATAAATTAATTATTAATATCTCTTTATAAATATTTCTTTAAATTCATGTTAAAGTATCTAAGTCGTATCGTATCTTGAAATTTAAATTTTTTCCATATTCCCCTATCCGTATATCCGTCATATCAAGTATCCAGACTTCATAGGATTTCATCAACAAACTGCTTGTCAATCTTTTATCTAACAAATTTCATAATCAAATTTATATCATAGTAGCTAAAATCACGTGCCAAATTGTAGAATCATACGATTCTACAATCTCCGTTGGCATTGCGTGAGCTGGACCGTAAAATTGGTGAGGTCACACGATCCCAATGCACAGAGAAGATGACGTTTTGGGCCAATGACCCGTGACTTGACCCGATTTCATTCAAGTCGTTGGAACCCTAAAATCCCAAAAACTCAAATCTGTGACTTCTTCCTTTCTCCTTTGCTCTGTTGTGCGACTTCTTCCTTCGACTCCACAAAATCCACCTGCATTTTCCCAGTGACTATGATTTGGCTCCGGCGACTCGGTCTGTTCAGCGATTTGGTTCTGCTCTTTGCTGGGGTTTTCTGCTTCTTGTGCTCTTTTTTTCTTCATCTTCATCAACTTTGGGTTACTATGGGTGACTAGGATTTTCTTCATTTTCTGCTTTTTGTGCTTTGCTTTCTGTGCTAATTAGACAAAATGGCTTCAACTAGTAGTCAAGCTCCTCCTTCCATGTCATTACCAAAGAATGCACCAGAAAACAAGAGTGATGTAGCATGACAACATGGGATTGCAATTGAAGGTACAAGAAGAATTCAATACAAATATTGTCAAAAAATAGTAAGCAGAGGTGCTTATCAACTGAAGCATCACTTGGCTCAAACAGCCAAAAATGTTGGAGAACGCATATCTGTTTTGGATAAGAAAAGAAATGTGAAATTTACTTGTAAGCATGCAAGAAAAGTTGAATAAAAAAAATCAAATTTCTTTGCTGGCTGAGAGAGAGACTTTATATAGTGGAAGCAAAAGAAAATTAAGTGAGAATGAGGTGACTAGAGGAGGAAATATTTTTCGGAAAAGGGGCACTCAAGTAACAATCAACAACATATTCAAGAAAACTAGAAGAGAGGAGGCTTGTCAAGCTATTGGAAGGTTTTTTTATAATAATGCCATATCATTCAATGTGGCAAGAAGTGATGAATTTTCTGTTATGTGTGATTTAATTGCTAGTCATGGTCTTAGATTTAAACCACCAAGGTATTATGAAATTAGAGTAAAGTATTTGAAGAAGGACATAGTCATAGTCTTGGATGCACATTAATGATTGATGGGTGAACTGATAAGAGGAGAACAACATTAAACTTGGTAAATAGTCCTAAAGAAATTGTATTTCAGAAGTCTATTGATGCATCTCATGTAGAAAAAACAGCTGATAAAATATTTAAAATATTTGATGATGTTGAAGAAATTGGTGAAAAAAATGTAGTCAAAGTTGTGACTAATAATGCAGCAAATTACAAGGTTGCAGGGGAGATGATGATGAAAAAAAAGAAACACTTATATTAGACTCCTTGTGCAGCACATTACATTGATTTGATGTTGGAGGACTTTGAGAAGAAGATACTAATTCATGAAAAGACAATTCCAAAAGGTAGAAAAATTACAACTTATATCTATTCAAGGATGAGTCTTATTTCTCTATTACAACATTTCACCAAAGGCAAAGATTTGGTAAGGCAGGAATTACTCGTTTTGCTACATTTTATTTGACTCTAGGGTACCTTCAAGAAAAAAGAGTTGTTTTTATAAGAATGTTCACATCTAATGAATGGAAGTCCTCTAAGTTTGCTAAGACAAGGGATGGGACAGTTATAGAAGAATTGATTTTGAATAAAGTTTTGGAAGGATATAATCACTTATTTGCAGGCTACATTTCCTCTTATCAAAGTTACGAATGGTTAATTCAGATGAGGAAACTATGGGCTTTATTTATGAGGCAATGAATCAAGCTAAAGAGAATATTCAAACCACTTTCAATGGTGTTAAGAAAAGGTAACTAACTACTATTAATTTAAATTAGTGGATATTTTGTGATTTATGTTATATTGTATATTGAATCTTTCTTGTTTGCTCTTTATCAATTCTATACTTATATGGAATATCATAGATGAAAGATGGGATAAATAGCTCCATAAGCCTTTTGCATGCTACAGGCTATTTTCTTAATCCTAAGATGCACTATCGTCCTAAATTTAATGCTGATCTTAAAGTTAAGCATGGACTATATGATTGTTTGACAAGGATGGTTCTTGATCAAGATGAACAATGTAAAATTGATTGTCAACTTGATTCATTTAGAAAGCGAGCTGATAATTTTGGTAGTCACCTGACTAAGAAAACTATTGATATGCGTCTGCCAACTGATTGGTGGATGTCTCATAGAGATGAGCATCTTAAGCTTTAAAGATTTACTATTCGAATACTAAGCTTGACATATAGTTCTTCTAGGTGTGAACGTAATTAGAGAGCCTTTGAGATGTTAAGTAGAAATTCTTTTTTCTAAAATTATATACTAGGCTAGCCAACTATTTTTTTTTTTATCTAAAATTATATTTAATATATTATTATTTGTTTATGTGCATACTAAAAGAAGAAAATGTTTGAAGCAAAATATAATGAATGATGTGATATTTGTTATGGCAAATTTCAAATTGGCCAAGAAGAGGACTGCTAGGAGAGTGAAGGATTTTAACATAAATGTAGATGATATTTCATTTAACAATGAGTGGATAATGAAAAATAATGATAGAGAAAATCATGAAAATTTGGGCCTAGAAGACAATTTGGAGGATGAGGACATTCAGAAGCATGTTAATGCTCTAAATGAAGATGAGGACTTGGATTTAGACCAAGGTTCAAATCAAGATGTTGGTGTTGGTGATGTTCCTATTATAAACAATATACATGACGAAGGAGATGATGGACCAAATGAAGATTGATGGGCCAAATGAAGATGATGAAGGAGATGAGGACTTTTTTTACTATCAAAATATTTTAGATATGAAAAAATAGATATCTAAAGTTTGTATATTGATTTTGTATTTGATTGGAACTTTGGATTATGTTTATGTTGGACATATTTAAAGTATTCTGTACTTAGTTTGGATTAATGTCTTTGTTTTCTTTCTATTTATGCTATTTTATATGTATATATACAATTTTGTAAGATCTTACGTTCCGTGTTACGATCCTACGAGTTACAATCCTTGACCCCCTCTCCAATCCTATGTAAAATCTCGATTTTGACTACCATGATATATCATTAATCGTCATGTGTTAAGATCTTAATAAATAAGTATTTAATTAAGTTATTCATCCAAATGCATGCTTAATATCATGTAGGTAAAACAAGTCAACTATTATCCCGACAAAGGATCATTCACAGTAAGTTATTTGGAAATGGATATTTTACATTAAAATAGCAAAGGTTGGAACCACTTTTAAGTTCTGATGCCACCATTTTATCAGAAGAGTAGGGAACCTACATGCCTAATTATTAGCATGTTGAAAATAAAGGTCATGAAGCATGACTTCCTTAATTGTTTGTTGGAGATGTATTTGTACCACATTCGATAGTGGATCAGTTTTGGACTTTTGGCAAGACAAAACAGGAGATAGAATGGATAGTAATTAGCCAAGAGATCAAAGACAAGGGAAAATAATACCTCCACACGATCCCATTCTCCTTTTCTGAATCCAGTTTTGAGGTTAGTAACTAGTACAGATCCCACAGTTGCTGCATGCCTTCCAGAATAATCTGAAATTGTATATAGAGCAATAAAAAATGAATATATATGAGGAGTTCAGAAGTTCATAATCACCAGGGGGGGAGGGGGGGAGAGAGAGGAAACATTATGGTTGATTAATGACAGGAACATAATATTAAGCAGACCTTTCAAGAATTGTCGGGCTTCTTCTTTGCTAGATGGCTTTTCCCTAATCACGCCTTCATACACCACCACCTCAAATTATTCGACAGGGAAATAAACCATAAGCAAACTTTGACTCAAAAAAAAGGAAACTTGATAATTTCTACTACAAACTAGTCTTGTCACCATAAGGCCATTTATTTATGAGGATAGTAAGCATTAAGAGAATGGAAGTCATTTAGGTTCCAAAAAACAAGGAATCAAATTGTTTGAACACTGGAGATATTTTAGGTTATTAATAAACAGTTGTCAATTACATTCCATGAAGGAAAAAACTTCACTATTAACATCCACAAGAAGCATGGGAGAAAAAGAGGAAGAGAGATTGTTAAGCAAGAAGCAAAGACAATTTCTAATGATAACATTATTGAATTTTACCAACTTTACCTTCAAAAAACGTTTCTTAAAGACATTGTTGCTTATGTATACTGTACAGCGATATTTTGGAGACGTACAACAGAAAACTAAAAAAGAAACATTAAGAGTATGATGTATACTTGGTCAGAAGTAATTAATAATGTTGGCTTGGCATCCTTTAAGTAGTCATCAAGAGGGAGCCTTTGTAAGATGGCTTCTGCCTAGGGAAAATATTGAGCAGCCAAAATAAGTGCCAGAGTATCAGCTGCACAACTATAAGTGAACACTAGCATTTTATAACATGCCTAACAATTACATGATATCACCAGGTAACAGCTTCAAATAGAGGATGAGACAAACTGAAACCATGAAATTATCTTTTTTTCAAAATGTAGATACTGATACCACTGATGATGTGAAAGCCAAAAAGTATGAACAACATGATAGTAATGATGCCAAAGAACTTATTACATAGGTACTGCTCTTAACTTATTTTATAAGGAGCAGGTATTCAATAATAAAATCATGTCTTAAACAAAATAGAAGCATATGAAATTATAACTCAAACGTTAACAAATAGACAGCATAAAACCTCCATTTCTGCATTCAATTTTAAAGAACACAATTGCAATATTCACTCAAAATGATAGAGAAATAGAAGCTTAAGGATATGAATTCTGGTAGTTCCCTCAGATTTACGAATGAAAACTGAGAACAAATAAAACCTAAAGGGTTCATAGCAATATTCACTCACAATGTTAGAGAAATAGAAACTTAATGATACTATCATGAATTCTGGTAGTTCCCTCAGATGTATGAATGAAAACTCAGAACAAATAAAACCCAAAGGTTTGGTAGCAATTTCACGATGACAGCATTTTGTCTGTACTTATGGAAAGGTTCACATTTTATCATTTCTTCCAAAGAAGGGCAGAAAAAGCTGGATTTGTAATGTTTAAACTAAAGCACACACTACATCCTCTACAAACAAAGCTCGACATCCTCAATTAATAAATGGCCCTGGTGACAACCAACCTAACAACACCCAATGCCTACTTGACTAAGGGTAAACCAACACAAGAAAAGGAAACACAACATACTGTGTCCGCTGCAATTAAAATCGTTGGTTCATCAACCCTCTCTTGATTACCGGTAGTTTGAAGTTTGGAAATAATGGCATTGGCCTGACATGTAATTCACATCCATAATCAGTTATAGCATATCTTTCAAGGTTTCTCTACTCTCTAGCAGAATTACAACTACCATCTAATAAAATACAGCATTAGCACTAATTTGCTTGCTGCTGCCTCTGTAACGAGAAAACAACTTTCACAGTAACATGATTCCATAATTGATATGTTAGCAGAAAATAAAGTTCTATCATCGACCATCAACCAACAAGCAAATTAACCAATTCGTTGGATTTCAAAAATCACACAAACCTTGGCTTCGGCGAGAGCCATAACTAACTCTTCTGGAGTTTCCTTTCGGATGCTCTTTTCATCAATATCTGCAGTCTGTACGAAACAGTCACAAAAGATTAAAGCTACACATGAAACGATGAAACGTAGATCAATTTCATTAATGGTCAGATATTTACTAACCATTGTTGTGAATTCGTATCCCATTTCGGACAGTATCTTGCGGCGTGCGATGGAGGATGAACCCAATATAATCTGAAAATAGCAAGTTGCATAGTAAACGTGCGCACCAATCTAAAGTTGAGGAAATTGCTACGAATAATAGAGCGACGTGGAACCCTAAAATGAAAGTAGCACTACCTTGTACGAAGAAGTGCTAGCTTCCATCGCCAACTCCCCTACAAAATGGATGGCGGGAACAGACGTAAAATGTAGGAAAGCTCAGCTATAGCAAGTAACTGCACGCAAGCCCGAATTAAAATTCAATTTGGAAATGAAATTACATCTGTGGTGTGCTGTTACTTCTGCCTTTTGTGTACAGGACGAGAATATTGTACACGTGACACAAATGAAATTAGATTTTACTGTTTATATTAAATAAAATGAAATATAATGATAAAAAAATTAAGTTAAATTAAATTAAGAAAAATATAGTAATTTTTATTTTATATTATTTTATCTAATTTTTCTTAGATTTGGAGTTATTAAAAGTAATATTTTTTTAAAATTCTTAAAAATATTTAAATAATATAAAAGCATAGATAACCTAATTTCTTTCAGTGGGGTATGCCTAGGGATGGCAATGGGTAGGGTATAGGTAGGGTACTACAGTATCCATCCCTATACCCGTTTTAAAAAAATACCCGTACCCGGCCCCATATTCGCGTGAGTATGAACATTAATCCCCGTACCCGTACCCTCTGGGTACCCGCATACCCGTCTTGTACCCATTACCCGCGCTTGTTTGAGAAAAAAATATTTATAAAGAAAATATGTTTATATAACTTCACATAAGTAACATAATAATACAAAAATTCAATATATAGTTGCCGAACAAGGTACAAATATAGATAAAAAACAAATATTCAAAGATCATAAATGTTAAATGTATCTTAATATAATAATTTTCTAAACTAAAATTCTTAAACAATAAGCAAAACTAAACACATAAGTTATTTGTCAGTAATAATCTTATCTTGTGTGAGATTTGATTGATTGGTAATGTTAGAACGACAACGAAATAGATCTGTACAATGGTTGTCCCTTCGTGTGGGATCACTTAGTAACCTCTCGTGACGGCATTAACAACTAACTCTAATGAATAACATTTCATAGTTATTAAGTTTTAGTGATACAGACATTGAGAATGAGAATAGAGTTAGAGTAGAGAAGCTCAATACTAACAACAGAAAGTTGATACATAAAATATTTTTTTTAACTTTTAAATTTGAAATTGTAAGAAAAATAATAGATTTAATTAAAATAATATAATATAATTAATATATATATATATATATATTAATACTAGTATTTCTTAACTCATATACTATACGAAAGTATTTTATCAAAAATATAAATTTTTGAAAAATTATTTTAGTGAATTAAATATTTATAATGTATATAAATTTAAAAAAAAGAATTTGAATAAAAGATAAATAGTTACAATAAAATTTTATAATAAATAAATATACGTGTATATTAAAAAAGTTATACTTTTTTATCTTAAAAAAATTAACAAATAAAAATTGACAATAATTTTTTATATTTATATCTTTTCAAAAACTTCTTTGAATGTGAATAAATAGTAAGAATAATATTATTTAGATTCAATAGATTATAGTTGTGCTTGTAATACATATGTTACATAGAAAAATATTATTTTAAATTAAAATATAAAAATAAAATTTAAATATTATTAATAAATAATAAGTTTACGGTAATAGTAGGTAATTGTAAAATTTATAAAAATTTATAATATATTTATTATTTATCATTCACTTTATAATTTAAACATCAATATGATTTTATTAACAAAAATATTTGTGTAAAAAATATTTTATGTGTGTCATATATAAATAATATTTTAAAAAAAGTCAATCTCATATTAACTATGTAATAATTATATTGTGTTAGCCTAATTAAATGATATAAAATAGTAAATAAATTTTTCTATTAAAAATATAAACTAAAATAAATTTTTTGGTTTACTTTATTATTAAATATATTTTTATATTAATATTATATAACTTCACATAAGTAATATAATAATACAAAAATTCAATGCATAATTATAGAATAAAGTCCAAGCATATATATATATATATATATATATATATATATATATATGCGGGTATGGAGCGGGGTGGGTACTTAGATACCCATACCTGCACCCATCTCCATTAAAATTTGCGGATTTTTACCCGTACCCATACCCGTACCCGTATAGCAGGTAAATATCCTACCCATTGTGGGTAAATTTTGCGGGTGCCCATCGGGTACTTTACCCATTGCCATCCCTAGGTATGCCAAGGCCAACGTTTTCCAACTCGCAACCCCCAGCGCATGCTGCTTCTAGTCCATCATTCGCCTATTAATGCGACATCCGTGTGTGGGATATTATCCTGCATCTAAAAAGTTTTTTTTATTATTAAACTTTCATTTTGGTCATAAGATATTAGACGTTGTGTAATTTAATTTTTAAAATTATAAAATTATTATGTTAATTTTTAACTTTCATCTTAAATATATTTTAGTTTTGAGATGTCAAAGGACATTAACAAAATACTGAAATAATATATATAATTAATTATATGATAAAAATACCATCATATATAATTAAAATATAAAATTGTTACATATTATGCTTTAGTCTTTAAATTTTTATTTTATTTTTTATTTTCTCTTATTGAAAACTATCATTATTGGTCATTATATGTCTTTTTTGTTGAAGATAAATTTGTTACTATCTAATTTTTTAAATGAAAGGTGATAAATTTACCGTTATTACTGATACAAATAAGTCATGTGAATAATGAAATTGAAGTTAAAAATCTAAACTACATTTTAACAATGAAGTTCAATAATGATAATTTTTATTTTCTCCATCAATGTAATCTTTTTCCACTTCTCCTACTTTTTTTGAGTTAAAGAGTATTAGAGATTTGAATAAATCAACTCAGCGGAAAAGTTTGAGCTCATATATGAAAAATGTTGAACTTGAATGTTTAAGACAAGATAATGTGGTTGGATGTAGAGAAGATGATAAGGTCAAAGAAATGCTGAATTGCGGTGAATTTTTCACCAATAAAGAGTGCAGATAGTGGTTGACAACGATAGCTTTTGATGTGAGAGAATGAAAAAAAAAGAAGAATGAATAGATGAAATGTTTTAAAATTTGATAAATAAAAATGTTTGAGGAATGACAATATCAAGACTAAAATGTTTTATGAGTGACAATTTAAAAAATTAAAATGTCCAACAAGTAACAATTTCAGGAATGAATTAAAAGACTTAACAAATGATAATCTCAAATACTAAAATAAAATGAAAATATATATCTTATTAATCATACATATTATTTATGTGATATATATTAGTACTTTAATATTGCTTATTGACTATATCTAAGTTTAAAAACTAAAATGATTAATGAATATAAAGGTCAAGAATTAACATAATATTTTCAATATTTCATAAATTTAAATATTTGACATTTATTATCTTATATCCCAAAACAAAGTTTTCTTTTCCTTATTTTAAGCTCAATTTAAAAAATAGTAGTAGATTCATAATGAACTTTTATTGTCATTCTAAAAAGAGTCTATAAATCACTTCTTATAAATACTTTTTAATTTTTTTAAAATTAATTTCTTTTATTGTTTTTTAATCCATTTGAGTTCAACAAAATTAACTTTATAAACCAATTTATCACAATGAAAAATTAATTAATATGTTTAACACAACTACATAAGTAAGGATGGCTTATGGCTATTTGAGTTTTAAGGCAAAATTATATTAGCGGCCACTTATATGTGGCACATGAAGTGTGTGCCAGATAACTAACCAAAATCAAATCTAACGTTTTATTCGACGTGAAAGTTATAACTTATGACATTTAATGAATCAATATTTGAGGGGAATTGGCGTTAAGCTATAACACGCACGAACATCATCGTGCCAACTGCCAAGAAACCAAAAACTAAAGCACCACAGGTCCACAGTTTGAATTAAGTAGGTTCCTCTTATTAGGATTGTGAGAAAGGGTCAGAATAATATAGAGAAATAATAGAAAGTTTTGAAAATGTCAAGTAAACAGGTATCCACAGGAAACATATCTTATAAGGAAAATTTTCTAACTCTTCATGTCATTGGTGATTGTCAAAATCATCTAGCATGCACAAGTTATACTATTCTTATGGAAACATAATTTTGGGAAAACAAATTCTCATATGATTAATAATGGTATCAACGTGATTGTCATCTAGCATGCAATATTTGAAAGGGGTTGATGTTATACTTTTCTCAATTGAGTTTTGTTCCTGCTAGGGAAACACTAGTCTTCAAGTCTCTGCTTTAGAACAGTGACGTCCTTTTGTCTCTCGCTGACGTGGGGAAGGTACCTACAAAAGGCACTCCGATGCTAAAGTTAGGATTCGGTTCTGAGCAATAAATGCTATTTAATAATGAAAAGTCAACTATTTACCTGTACTTCTTACCTTCCTTTTATAGGCATTGTTATGGGCTAATGGACCTACTGAGTCAGCCTTGATTTTTGGCCATTTACTTAAAGTAGATAATGCTTTGATTACTACCCTTAATTGGATTAATTACCTTTTAATCCTGACAAAAGGTATTTGGCCAAACTGAGTCGAATAGGTACTCGGTTTCCTTTTCCTATACGTAGGACCGAGCAGTTCCCTATCTAGTACACTAGCCTCCCAAGCCCGAAAAGGTACGAGGCAAGGGCTTAATAATATATAAGTATGAAGAACATGTAGATGAGGGGGTACTCAGTTTTGTAGGATGGGTAAGAATACCGAGGCGAGTATTCGGTTTAAGGAACGTAAGTAGGCTGAGTAGAGTATTCGGTTCAAGTATAAAAAATAAAGGTATTTGGTGGGCTGAAGAGTGCACACCGAAGTAGTATTCGATTTATTGAAAAAGTGGTGGAGACCGAGGACGTAAAAATAAAAGTCCATAAGAATAAATAATAAATAATGAAAAAAGATCATTCTAGAACTTCAAGTTTTTAGGGTTTCAGGATTTTTTAGGGTTTCCTCGATATGTGTGCGTAAGACGAAGGGGTGTCCTCACTCAACTGTTGATCTGGAAAAGATCTAATAGTCCGGAAGGGGGGTGACCCTTCGTATGTCCGAGAGCGCATCTCCTATAAGTACGTGGTGGTCCAGGTATTTTATTCTTCACTTTTTCTCTGAACCGAGAAGTTTACATTGTTGCTCCAAACTGAAGGGTACTCAAACTTTCTCTTTTCTTTCCGAACCGACTACCTGTGAGGTACGTTTAGTATTCCTGTCATCTTTCTTATTTTATCATGGTTGAATCCTTAGAATGGGAGGACTCGTTGTCAGACTCATCTGGGTTAACCAATATTGATGGTCAAAATGTTGAGAGAACCAAAGGGGGTGAGTTTTCTTGAAGACCGAGTGGGGGAAATGAAGTAGAGACTCAATTTAGAGAATGCAGTGATGAAGCCGAATCGTCTGGGTCTACTGATTCTGACTCTTCCGAACTCCTACCGAGCATGACCCCCTAGGGAAATACCAGTATTCTCCCCTGTGCAGTTCCTAGATACGAGTGGGTACACGGTGAAGTAGCCGCCTACTTCTCTTGTTTTAGGAAAAATAGAAGTCTTCAATCTTTTGTTGACCACTGTGAAATTTTGTTATGAGAACCTTTCGATCCCTACCCAATATCCATCAACCCTTGTTAAGGAGAGGAAACAGGGAACCCTAATTTTGTTTTTGTAAGAGGTGTCGAGATGACCGACACCTTTTTTATGTATGAATATATGTTTAGGGAATTAGGTATAAGGTTACCCTTCAATGATTTCCAAATGGGAGTGTTGAGGGTTTTGAATGTAGCGCCGACACAACTTCATTTGAATGGGTGGGCGGTGATACAAGCATTTAGGGTACTTTGTAAATTTCATTATATAGAACCTAGTGTAGGTTTATTTCTTCACTTCTTCTGTACTCGTCCATCAGATTTAGGAAGGTGGGTATCGTTAATAAGGCAACCCAAATTGTCATTGTTCAAGCCTTATGCTTCATCTTTTAAGGGTTTCAAGACCAGTTATTTCAAAGTAACTGTCCACCCTATAGGTAGAAATTATTTTTTTGATAGTGAAAACAATCCTCTCTTTCCCTTTCATTGGACCCGAGTGCCTCACCGATACGACTTGCTTCCTGAGGACGTGTTGTCGGCTAGAGAGTTATCGGCTTTGGATTACTTGAAGTCTCTTTCTCGAGAGCTTCCTGCCCGACATATAGTTCTAGTGTTAAAATTTTCTCATCCTCGTCTAGACATGGATGGTATGTTTTGTCCTTATGATTGTTTTGAATCAAGTTGTATTGATTTGACTTTTTGTTTTTAATGTAGGTCTGATGGCTCAACGTGGTGTCAACGTACCGACATATCGTCAAATCCTGAAGACCAAAATTCCTGAAAGCACACCAATTGAGGAGCACTGAAACCCTCTACTTGACCATATCCCAGAGATAACCGAGCCCCGTCCTCCTCCCCAAGACCTTGCCATTGCAAACAGTCAGCCCAAGAGACGTAGAGAAAAATGCAAGGAAAAAGAGAAGGGCAAAGAAAAAGAGGGTGAGATGGAGAAAAAAAGAAAGTACTCCTATTCGGGTAAACTGACTGGTACAGAGGGGGCACGAAATCAAGCCCGAGGTGATGTGATGGCTGGGGTCAACAGTTCTTCAAACCCTGCTATTCCCCCAACTATATTATCCGACACCTTCCTCGTCCCAGGGGTTCATGCTGGACGAGTAGTTGCCCCTGACTTGCTTTCTGATTCAGGAAAGGATGCGGTTAGCAACCTAGACTTTGAGTCTTTGTGGCAATGCTACGTGGAGCTCCAAATTTGATTCATGATGATGCTTCGAAGACTAGCTTTGGAGCCCATACTCGAGGTGAAGAGGGTGCAAAACGAGTACTCCTCATCTCAACAAGCTTTAGCAGAGAATGAAGAGATTCAGTTACACCTTGCTGAGACCAATAAAGCTTTGGAGGCCGAGGTTATTCAGTATAAAGGGCACTATCATATAGTGGAAAGTCGGCTCCAGACCACCGAGCAAGAACTGAGGGTTAAGGAGGAAGAAATAGAGGCTCTAAGGGTGAATTCTTTGGGGATGGAGGAGGCCCTAAGAGCCAAATCTGTTGAAATAGAAGAGGCCTTTGCTCTTGAAAGGCAAAAGGCTGAGGCTGAGATGAAGGCCTTTTCTGACAAGTGTTCGGTCTAAGTTGCTATCGAACACGAGTCCGGCTTTAATCATGCTGTTCGCCAATGCTATGGTTTTTGCTAGGTGCCAGCCGACTTCTGTTTTGATCTTACCAAAGACTTTTTCGGTGGCAGGTTTTTACCATACAATGAAGTGGATGATGATGTGGAACCTGACACCAAAGTCTCCTACCGAGTCAAAGTTAATAAAAGTGCTCTCGGTCCTGAAGCCCCCAGTCTTGACGCCCCCGGTCCTGATGCCGGAGAGGAGGGAAATTACGAATAGGTTTACTTCTTTGTATTTGTGGGCCGATAATGCCCAAATTTTGTAATCTTTTTCAAATATGAATACAAGTTCACTTCTTTTCGTTTTCTAATAACATTGAACACTTAAATGGAAATTTTCTTACTAAGGTACAATATCTGATTTGTTTATTACCGAAAAGGTATTCATAATGGTAACAATAATTGATTCATCCTTGACCGAGTAAGGGTACTCGGGAAGGAATTAGTTAATTCAACCTTAGCCAAGTAGAAATATTTGGGAGGAAATTTTAATAAATGATTTGTCCTTGACCGAGTAGCGGTACTTGAGAGGGAATTAGTTAATTCAACCTTGGCCAAGTAGAAATACTTGGGAGGGAATTTTAATAAATGATTCGTCCTTGACCGAGTAGGGGTACTCAGGAGGAAATTAGTTAATTCAACCTTGGCCAAGTAGAAATACTTGGAAGGGAATTTTAATAAGTGATTCGTCCTTGACCGAGTAGGGGTACTCGAGAGGGAATTAGTTAATTCAACCTTGGCCAAGTAGAAATACTTGGGAGGAAATTTTAATAAGTGATTCGTCCTTGACCGAGTAGGGGTACTCGAGAGGGAATTAGTTAATTCAACCTTGGCCAAGTAGAAATACTTGGGAGGAAATTTTAATAAGTGATTCGTCTTTGACCGAGTAAGAGTACTCGGGAGGGAATTACCAAGTAGAAATACTTGGGAGGAAATTTTAATAAGTGATTCATTCTTGACCGAGTAGGGGTACTCGAGAGGGAATTATTTAATTTAACCTTGGCCAAGTAGAAATACTTGGGAGGAAATTTTAATAAGTGATTCGTCCTTGACTGACTAGGGGTACTCGAGAGGGAATTAGTTAATTCAACCTTGGCCAAGTAGAAATACTTGGGAGGAAATTTTAATAAATGATTCGTCCTTGACCGAGTAGGGGTACTCAGGAGAGAATTAGTTATTATATTAGAATCCAAAATAATCGAATAGATTTATAAGAGATTTTATTGATAGCGTGTGCCTCGTTAAAAACCTTCTCAAGAAAACCCCTTTTCACTTTCTTTTAAGAGGATAAAATCTGGGCAAAGAAAAGAGTGCACCGATTACATATTACAAGTGTTTAACTGAAGTAATGTTTTAAATGCGTGACGTTCCAAGTCCTTGGTATTAGCTTTCCTTCAAGTGTCTCCAGCTTGTATGACCCATTATCCAGGCATGCTGTTACTCGAAAGGGTCCTTCCCAATTTGCAACCAACTTGCCTTCCCGTCGGTCCCGTTGTGCTTCCCCGATTACTCGCCATACTAAGTCATCCACATAAAATTGTCTTGGATTTATTTTAGAGTTGAACTTTTTTGCCATTATCATTTTACTAGCCTCGGTCACTATTGCCGCTTGTCTGCGTATCTCATCCAGTAAATTCAGGTTGACGGCTAGGGATTTGTCATTGGCCAATTTCTCGAAGTTTTGGCTGCAAAATGATGGTTCTCCAGTCTCGACTGACACCATGGCATCAGTACCATATGTAAGCCGAAAGGGGGTCTCCTTTGTAGTCGTTTGTGGTGTACACCGATAAGCCCATAAGATCTCGGACAACTTTTCTGTCCATTCACTTTTGCCGAACCCAATTTTCTTTTGAGTTCATGTAAGATGACTTTGTTGGCAGCCTCGGCCTGACCATTAGTCAGGGGATGTTCAACGGTTGTGACCCTATGTTTGATGTGGAGCCCTTCCAGAAATTCATTAAACCGGTGATCCGTGAACTGCAACCCATTATCCGTAATTAAGGCATGAGGAAGACCGAATTGTATAATAATGTTTTTCCACATGAACTTCTGAACATTATTGGCCGTAATGGTGGCGAGTGGTTTGGCTTCAATCCACTTGGTGAAGTAATCCACAGTGATAATTAGGAATTTACACTGTTCTTTCGTAAAGGGGAAAGGACTGAGAAGGTCCATTCCCCAAATGGCAAAGGGCCAAGGAGAACTGATGGGATGAAGGGTGTCGGCATGTTGGTGTAAATAAGGACCGTGTTGTTGACATGGGATGCACTTCTTCACAAATGTTTGGCAATCTTGGGCGAGTGTCGGCCAAAAGTATCCGGCTCTAAGTATCTTAGCCGCCATGGTTCGTCCACCCGAATGGGTACCACAAATACCTTCATGAATTTCTCTCATGACATAGCTGGCTTGATCTTCATCAAGACATTTAAGCATAGGTGTTGAAATTTCTCTTCTGTATAATTCTTTGCTGAGAAAGAGGTACTTAGCTGCATGCATTCTTATTTTCTTAGCCGAAGTTAGATCCGTTGGTAAGTTGTTGCTGATGAGGTATTGAATGATCGGGGTCATCCAATTTTGAGACATATTTTCTATGTCCATGCACTCCTATTTGGCAATGCTAGGTTGAGGGATTTCCTGATGAATCACACTTTGTAATTGCCCAGGTTTCCTTTGACTAGCAAGCCTAACAAGCCAATCGGCTTGTTCATTCATGGTCCTCAGTGTATGTCTAACGTGTACTTCGTCAAATTCATCCTTTATATTTTTGAATTCTTGATAATATTGGAGCATAACTGAATCCTTCACCTGATATGTTCTATTGACCTGTTCGGCCACTATCTTTGAATCACTCCAGCAAGTGATGCGCTTTACTCCAATTTCTTTTGCCAATCTGAGACCGACTAGTAGAGCTTCATACTCGGCTTGATTGTTAGAGGCTTTGAATCCAAACCGAATAGATTGTTCAATAGTTATAGTGTTCGGCCCTGAAAGTATAATTCCTACTCCACTACCCAGTCGGTTTGATGATCCATCAACATGCAGGTTCCACATATTCAAGCTGGTGTGTTTCTGGGCAGTGAACTCATTGACAAAGTCTGCAAGCACTTGAGCTTTAAGGGGGCGTCGGTTTTCGAAATGTATATCAAATTGAGATAGCTCAATTGTCCACGTTACCAACCAACCAGCCAACTCTGGTTTTTTCAAAACTTTGGCCATTGGGCAATCTGTACGTACCACCACCCGATGGCTTTGAAAGTAATGTCTTAACCTACGAGCTGTATAGACTAGGGCCAACAACACTTTTTCCATTGATTGATAGCGTGATTCGGGGCCTTGGAGTGTTCGGCTGATGAAGTAGATAGGGACCGGTTCAGGTGTTTCTTGTAGTAAGACCGACCTAATGGCATTTTCTAACATGGTCAAGTAAATAATTATATCTTTTTCAGGCTTTGGTTTTTTTTAACACAGGCGGTGCCGCTAACATATTTTTATATTGGATGAAGGTCGCTTCGCATTCGTCAGTCCAAGCAAACTTTTGAGATTTTTTAAGTAGATCAATGAAAGGCCGAGACCTGTCTGCCATTATGGGCAAAAATCTGGCAAGGGCAACAATACGACCGGTGAGTCTTTGGACCTCCTTAACATTCTGAGGACTATTCATTTCGATGATGGCTTGACACTTGTCAAGGTTCGCTTGGATCCCTCTCTCGGATAACATAAACCCTAAGAACTTGCCACTAGCTACCCCGAATGTACACTTCTCTGGGTTAAACTGCATCCCATGCCGCATAGCTTCCCCAAACACCTCCTTTAAATGAGCGAGATGTTGTTCCAAGGAAGTAGATTTAACCACCATGTCATCTACATACACCTCTATGCATTTCTCCACTTGTTTTTTAAAAATTTTATTCATCAACCTCTAATATGTCACCCATGCATTCTTCAGGCCGAAGGGCATTACTTGATAACAAAAATTTGCCAAGTCTGTGATAAATGCCGTCTTCTCTTCATTAAGGGGTACATTCTGATATGATTATACCCAGAGTAGGCGTCCAAGAAACTAAGTATCCTATGATTGGCTGCACCATCTACTAGGGTATCAATGTTTGGAAGGGGATATGCATCCTTTGAGCATGCCTTGTTGAGGTCAGTGAAATCTGTACACATTCGCCATATTTCATTTGCTTTTTTAACCATGACGACATTAGCCAGCCAAGTAGAGTATCTAACTTCTCGGATAAAGTCAGCTTGTAGCAGTTTGTTAGTTTCCTCTTTTACCGCCTTTGCTCTATCGCTTCCAATCTTTCTCTTCTTTTGTGCTATCGGTTTGGTCCCGTTATAAACTGATAGGTGATGACAGAGAAATGTCGGGTCGATACCTGGCATGTCAGAAGCCGACCAGGCAAACAAATCAGTGTTACACTGCAAAATTTTTTGAAGATCTTGTCTCTCTTGTGCAGATAAACCGACCCCCAGATAAGTGACCTGTTCAGCCTTTGGTCCAAGCTGAAAAGGTTGCTTGTTTTCGTTGGGCTCAACTTGACATCCCTCATCCACTCTAGGGTCGAGTTCAATATCTAAGTCTTCTCCAGATCGAGGGGATACGATATTGACATCTCGGTTGCATCCATGGAAAGGCTTAAGACGCAAGCTTGCAAAGTAGCATTCTCTGACTGTCTTCTGGTTAGCATGAACTGTAACGATTTGACCCCTTTCGGATGGAAACTTCATGGCCAAGTGAGGAGTGGACACTATAGCTTTCAATTTATTGAGGGATGGCCGACCGAGTAGTATATTATAAAAGGTGTTTGCATGTATTACTAGGTAGGTAACCTTGATTCATTTTCCCTCGTGTTCTGACCCGAATGATATATATAGGTCAATACATCCACGAGTCTCTACTCGCTCCCCAGAGAAACCGACCAATGGTTCGTGATATTCTCTGAGTTCTTCTTCTGGTATGCCTAACTGCTTGAACGTATTCCAATGTAGGATATCAGCCGAGCTCCCTTGATTAATTAGTGTTTTCCAGACGGTGCAATTAAGAATGTCCACACTAATGACTATGAGATCATCTTATACCAGATCCACTCCTTAAAAGTCATCGTCTGTGAATGTGATAGGTGGGATTCTGCTGCCCAATAAAACATTGTTAACAGAGCGGACCTGCCTGAGATGTCTCTTTCTAGCCGAATGAGTGGGTCCTCTACCTGCAAACCCACCAGCTATGGTGTTAATAACTCTCTTCGGATATTTTTCTCGCTCATTATATCGTTTTACAAGAGGTTCTCTTGACCGGCTCCACTGTTGCTCAGGCTGCTTATCCTTATACCTTCTTGAGGCTTTGGGGTATCGATCTCTCCCCCTTTCGGTATGACCAGTGGGGTTTGTTTGAACAAATCCTCTAAGGTGTCTGTCCTTGATCAAATCTTCAATTTTATCTTTTAGGGTCGTGCACTCCTCCGTCGTATGGCCCCTATTGCGATGATATCGATAAGATTTGCTCTTATCTGCCCGAGCGAGGGGTGTTAGCGCGCCTGAGCATACTCAAGATTTCTGTTGCTAAGGCCTGATCAAGTACCATAGACCGGTTAGTGTTTAGTGTGGTGTAGGAGGGATATTTAGGCCCCCTGGGCGGCCTCTCAGGCTCACTCCTCCTTTCTTTATTTTCCTGCCGGGGTTTGAAAGTTTCTCTCTTATCTATATTTTTTGAATTGGCCCCTTGGTCCATCCGAATTTGATTTCGGTACTCAGCTAATTCCTCCATCTGTATATACTTTGCAGCCGGGCTCCTTAATTCATCCAAGTCAGCTGGTGGTTTTTTGCAGATGCTGTTAACGAAAAGACCTGACTTAAGAGCCGTTGTAAGGTGGTGCATGGCTACAGCTAGTTCCAGATTATGGATGGAAAGAGTCACTTTGTCGAATCGTTCCATGAACGCTCGAAGTGATTCTCTTTTTTCCTGACGAATGTTGACAAGTGCCAGGGATGTCAAGGGGTGAGGTCGGCTTGTAGCGAATTGCAAATTGAACCATCTTGTGAGGGTTGCGAAGGAGTCAATGGATGAGGAGGAGAGTCGGGTGAACCAAGTAAGAGCTGGTCCTCTTAGTGAAGTGGGAAAAATCCTGCACCACAAGGAATCGTTTTCTGTATACAGATCAACCTGGGTTGTAAAAACATCCAGATGTTCCCCAGGGTCAGATGTGCCATCATACTTTTCTATTGACAGACCCCTCCAGTTGTCGGGTAACTTAGCATCCAAAATATGGTGAGCAAATGGGCTTCGGCTCACTACATCATCTTGGTCATTTTTGGTTTCAGATTGAATTATCCTTGGTTTCTCCTATAACGCCTAGGGCTCCCCCTAATCCTGGGCAAGAGGTGTAGTTTGGGAAGGGATGTGTGTTTTTATTTCTTCTCTTAAGTGGGCATTTTCCTTTCTCATATCCGAGAGCTCCAAGGCATCTTTTTTCTTTCCTTTTCCATCTTCATCATCTCTGTTTTGAGCTGTCTTAACACAACTAAGAGACTCTCGTCAGTTCCTCCTTCTATCAGAACCTCAAGTGTCGTTTGGTTAGGTGTGATATCTTCCTATTGTTGTCGAGAGGTTCCCCCTGCTGAACATGTCCGTCCTGTTGGCTTCTTGTCAATACCATATTGGTTGAAAAAGTAAGGCAATCATGCCCCACGGTGGGCGCCAAAATGTTCCTGCTAGGGAAACTCTAGTCTTCAGGTCTTTGCTCTGGAACAATGACGTCCTTCTGTCTATCGTTGACGTGGGGAGGGTACCTGCAAAAGGCACTCAAATGTTGAAGTCAAGATTTGGTTATGAGCAATAAATGCTATTTAATAATGAAATGTCAACCTTTTACCTATACTTCCTACCTTCCTTTTATAGGCATTGTTATAAGCTAATGGGTCTGCTGAGTCAGCCTTGATTTTTAACCCTTTACTTAAAGTAGATAATGCTCTGATTACTACCCTTAATTGGATTAATTACCTTTTAATCCTGACAAAAGGTATTCGGCCAAACTAGACCGAATAGGTACTCGATTTCTTTTCCTTATATATAGGACTGAGCAGTTCCCTGTCCAGTACAAGTTTCATCAGCAAATGGCATGTCAATCTATAGCAACAATTGAAAAACGATAGCTCATAGCTTCCAAATTTTCCCAGCATTAGCAAATGATTAGCACTCAATGCCATCTTTCCATGCTTCATTACAAATGACCTTTCATAGTAGTCAATCCCTTGCAAATATTTATTCCAAAAATGGAACGAGATGGAGTGCATAGCTCATCTTAGACTCATTTAATGCCATGTAGGTAATACAAGTATATGAGATTAAAGATTAGCTGCTATCTCAGCAAAGGATCATTCACATCATGTTATATCAAAATGGATATTTCTTTATATTAAATAGCAAAAGTTATAACCATTTCTGACATCACCAATTTATCAGAAAAAGTAGAGAACCGTGATGCCAAATTATTAGCATAGTTGAAAGTAATGGTCATGAAGCATGAATTCTATCAGTGGTCAGGTATTGATATCAGATACTGGATGGTGAATCAGTTATGGACTTACGGTAAGATAAAACACAGACAGAGCAAAACAAAAATTACCCAAGAAAGAACAGGTAGGAGGAGCACTTAATACCTCCGCCCAATTTGATTCTCCTTTTATAAATCCAGTTTTGAGCTTTGTAATCAGAACGTGTCATACGTTGTGCAGGCCTTCCAGAATAATCTGAAATTGCAGAAGGAGCCAATATATATGAATATGTAGTAAGTGGCTAGAAGTTTACTGGATAACCACTCAAGGAGGGAGAAGAGGAGACACCAGAGAAGAAGCTATATTTTAGTTGATAAATGATAGGAATATAACATAGTCACCACTACCACTTTTTATATTTGTCTCAAATTATTTATCACTTTAAAATATAAAAAGTATTAATTATTTTTTTCAACAATATCCTTATTTATGAGGAATAATTTTTGTCAACTAATTATTATAATTACTCTAATATTGCTCTAGGAGTACCTATCAACTAAGTATTGTAATAATTTCAACACTTTTAAAAGAGATATTTTAGTGAAATCAACGTATTTTAGAATAGTAATTGATAAAATTAATAATTTTTTTAAAGATATATACATTATGTTAAATGACATCTAAAATGAGGTAGAGGGAGTAAGCACAAGAAAACTTTGACTCACAGAAGAAAAGAAACTTGACAATTTCTGTTACAAACTAGGCTTATCACCGTAAGGCCATTTATTTATGAGGAAAGCGAGCACGAACATGGAAGTTTGGGCATCAGTAATTCAGAGAATGGAATCAAGTTGCTTGAACACTGTACATATTATAGGTTATTAATAAACACTGGTCAATTACAGTCCAAGAAGACAAAACATCACCATTAAGCAAACAAAGACTGTTTTAATTAATAATAACACACTGTTGATCTTTTTTTGACTTTTCCTAAGAAAGAAAAAAATCTTAAGAGAGTTTCTTGCGTATGCATAATGATATGCAGAAAACGTACAATGGTAAACTAGAAAATAAATTTTCAGAAGAATACCAAAATTTAATTCATGGTAAGATATGTACCAGTCATTATTGTGAATTCCTATCCAATTTCGGATGATATGTTGCAGCGTTGGACAGAGGACGAAACCAATATAATCTGCAAACACTGCGAGTAAACACGGAGAATGAATGAGTAATAGTAAACAATAATCACCAATATAATGTTGAGAAATTAATCGAAATGAATTTATAGAGACGTGGATGATAGAAGCAGAACCCTAGATTGAAAGCAAGCTCCGAAGATGTGCAAGCTTTCATCGCAAGCTGTTGCTGGAGACGATGCCGGACACAGATAGTTGCAGAATGAAAAGAAAGCTATAACTATTAACTACCGCGAGAAAGTGCACTTTGAACCCAAATTTAAATCAAATCAAATACAAAAATAACAACCTCTCTTGTGCTGTTACTTTTTCTAAGAATTAAAAAAAAACTGTGAAATGTAGTAAATAAAGTTTTTTTTTTTTTTTATTTCACTTTATTCCTTTTCTCTAAAACCATTAACGCATCTAGCATGTGTATTTATATTCCTTACATCTGGGCCATTAGCTTTTTAATTGAATATTAATTAATGGTATCGATTAAACAAATATTTTACAATTTCACTAACATCCTCCATCATAGATGAGCAAATGTGCTTCTCTTCTACTACACCCAACCTATCATTCAGTCAAATTAGGTGATGCATATGTTTCCATGTTCTTACAGAATTTAGGGGCAAGAGAATCCAAAACTTTGAACTAAATCGAAAGAACAATTTTATCACAAATGCATCTTTGGTAATTAATCTGATGCGGTGATAAAAAGATACGAATGCCCTGTGTATGATACATATCCTTGTGTGTCTCTATAACTGGCGTCATGAAAGTGTATATTAGTATAAGAATAAAAATATAAATTCAACTTCAGTGAGCATGCACCAAACTTTCAAGATTCATGGTAGAATTTGCCGTCTTCCAACCCTATATATTCTTATTCCCCAGCCTCCTAAATAATAATAATAATAATAATAATAATAATAATAATAAAATGCTTCAAAGAGGTACGAAGGACTTGAACCATAAAAAAAATAAAATCAAGTTTTATGTTTTAAAGTACTTAAGTAAATCAGGCTAAAAAAATTTAAATTGATTCTAATCATAATATTCAATTACTTAAATCCTATATTTTAGTAAGTATATACTATATTGGAGCCAACGTAATCAAATTGACTCATTTTATTAACTCTAAGTATAAAAGAATATTTTTTCTTCCAATACAATTGGTGTTGATGTTGTGAGAATAAAAGATATTTATCTTATATCATGAAAACAAAAATAAACCATAATATGAATATATTTTAAGAATATTTATTAAAAAACTTAAACTTGAGAATATTTCGTTTACATTTTAAAATTCATAAGAATATATAGATAGAAAAAAGAAATTAACCATTCATCTTCTATTCCTAAAAGAAAATCACGTCATTTTTCCCTTTTGACACACACATATACTAAACTAAATAGTCTTTTACTGTTTATTATTTTATTGGGTACTCCATCATATGTAATATATAATTTTTCTTTTATTTTTTTTAATTCACTATTGCTTTATTTATTTTTATTTTTTAATATAAAATCCTTGGGATTTTATAAGTTATGATTGTCAATTTAAGTTTTAAAAATTGTCTCACTAATCAACCTTCAACCTTGCATAGTTATTGAATAAATTTTTATTATTATTAGTGTTGTATAAACAAATGTATATGACACTAATAATTTATATTTTATAAATTTTTTCATCTGTATATATAAAAATATTTTATTAACTTCGGTCTTTAGAATTGAATTTAAATATCTATAAATAATTTTTTTTTATAAAAAATATAAAAATTTAATAAATATTTCTTTTTTAAATAAATTATTATTATTATTAGGTGATTTTGTTCGAGCCTAAAAATTTAGAGTTAAGTTAAAACCCTATGTAAAAAAATCTACGGCTCATTAAACTAGTAATATTGTAGAATCTAATGCGTATTTTGTTGCAATCCGCCATTCGCATTATAAAAGTTGCGTAATTTGATTTCGTCAACCTTTTCATGCGGTTCCAAACCTTCCGGACAGTAATGATGAATACAAGTTATGGTCGGTCGGTTGAGTTAGACACATGCGTGTAGATGTACTGTCATTTTATATAAACCACTTTCTCTTGTTCGTTGTTAAATTTATCTTTTTAGTTCTCTCTCTCTCTCTCTCTCTCTCTCTCACACACACACACACACACACACACTTCGTTTTAGATTGGAAGGTGTTCAAAGGTCTTTTCTTAGATTGCAACTTAAGTTTCTATCATTTATATATTCATCCAAAAGAGAAATTAAAAATAACTTGACAGAAACTGCTCGTCAATTGATATGCTTTACCATCAAAAGGTTGTGATGTCCTTATGATGATTTGAGCTTTACATTTATAAGGATGACACGGCAATGACACTTGACATATATAGAAAAATAAAAAAGCAAACCAAATGACACTTGATTTTTGTTATTATAGAACCAAGCTAGGTGCATGCATTTTTGTGATCTTCACTTAACTTGATTCGTAATGTTCTAAAACCATATCCCTTTCTTTTTCCCCCCAAATTTGGCTCTGCTGTTGCCATACCTCACTGGAGACTTAGAACCTTCATCCTGCATGAAGATGAATACACACAATCAGGTACTCAACTCACATTAACCAAGAAAATTTCTCCATGTTAATTAGAAAAAAGAAAATGCATAGAGTAAGTATATATTTGAAAACAGTTGCTTTTAAAGGAAAGAATCACATATCATTCGAAAGTTTTCTTTCTAAAAAATAAACATTTAATTTTTAAAAAATAAAATGAAATATACACTAAATAAGTTTACAGTGCCTAATGAGATGTGAAAGGGTCGTGTGAGTAAAATAAACAGAGTAACCAAACATCATTGACAAACCACAAGGGTCTAATTGAGCAACTAGCAAGAGGTTGTTAGGAAATACTCTTTCAAATACACTCTTTATTATTAATTAAAAATCATAAATTTACGTGGGTACTTGTTCCTAATTTAGTAGATGTACTCATAGTTTATAATTTTTAATAAATTTTAGTGGATAAATAAGAATGTAATAAAAAGAAAACGTTAATGAGTGGACAAGAAGTACTGATTTTATAAGGATTTGTTTGAGTAGTGACCTTTGTTCTTCATCCATGAAACCGTAACCTTTGATGCTGCCTCCTACAGTTGCAGCAGCATTTCTGTAATTGGGCAAGGGCACGTGTCCTTCTTCAATCTGCTTCAAATCCTCCACAAGCATGTCATAATGCCTCTTAACTTCTTCCACTGTTTTCCCTCCAACGGCCCTGGCCAAGTTCTGCCACCGATCTGGGGTGTCCTTGTCATAGATGGCCAAAGCATTCTCAAACTTCTTGTTCTGCTTTGTTGTCCAAGCTGAGCTTGAGGCCATTTAGGCAATTCTATTTTGTGTGTAATAATCAAAAGACAATAATGGTAATAAAAACTCAATATTAATATGGCTGAGTTATGTGTGCGTATGAGGAGACTCTCATTGCTACTGCCCTTTATATACTAGTGGAAGAATGTATGTGTGTGTGAGTTGTAGGTTGTGTACTTGTTGCTCATGCTAGCTGTTGCTTTCCCGGCATAACAGTGGTACAAATTGTAAAAAATCCTGAGAACTTTTCATGTAATTTACACGAGTTTGCAAATTAGTTTATTGCTTTTACTCTAAGAAATATTATTGCATATTTAAGGAAAAATAATCTAAGAAATATAAGTAAACTAATGACTCTCACCGACTTTCATTAAACCGAGAAAGTTATTAATGCATTCTGTAAATTTCACTCATTCTTCTAATTCCTTTTCACATGCATATGACTATAAAGAATTCAAAGAAGAATGTCCCTAAAATTGACATCGCCACTAAACTAACCCTTGTGCGTTTGGATTTAAGCTTGTATCTCTTGTAACTTCTATCCACGCCATGGCTTAGGAGTTTGGAGCTTCTCAAGGGAAATCCAAACCTTTATGTTGGGATTATCAAGTTCTAACTTGTACCAATATATAGTTACCATCGCCTTTAGACACTAAATTGATTTGAGTTATTGGCTTTTCAGTTTAAAGACTTTTATTTTGAAATTTAGTAAAATTAATTTTAAATTATTAAAGATATTAAGATGTGTAGCCAAATTTATTTTACCTACAAATTTTACATTGAATATGTGTAAGGAGAAATTGATTCTAAGTGTGTATTTGGATTTATGTTGAATTTTACAAATCTAAATTCAACGTAGAAGTTGAAATTAATATAAACGGATGATTATTTAAAGATAAATCCAAGCACACCTTAAGTATATCTTTAAAAACATGTTAAAAAAACTTGTAAACATGTTTGAATACAAACATGGTGTAAGTGTATGTTTGGTTTTACTTATTTTGATAAAATAATTGCTTATTTTTAACAATTTTATGAGACCTTATAAAAAATTATTATTAAAAAAAGGGTTAATCCAGACATTGGCTAAGTGTTTGTCAAATGGGTTAGGTTGGTTTATTATGATTTATAATTGTCTCCTGTGCTGCATTACTATGTTAGGTGCTGCTGTGGAGGTCTGGTCTGATACTGTTACAGAGGACAGCATGGGTCCAGTAAAAGTTCACGGGCGCAGGTATCATGCGGCCATGTAGAAAAACTTTACGCTAAGGTCGTCATAGAGCTGTGTATGGATCAGACAAGAAAAACACAAAAGCCCCTTTTTATCTTTTGGATGTTTTCAATTTCTCAGTGTGTTTGTAGCTAAGGAAATGAAAATGGCTCCAATTCATATCCAGTCCTTACTCCCTTCTTACTCAGCAATGTTCCAAGAAAATGTTAGGTTGCAATCCTACCAATATTAATCAGTCCGCATCAGTCATCATGGATTTTGTACAATTCTGTGCGTGTGTATATATACATATATATGTAACTCTGTTAACCAAGTTGAGTTAAAACATTTAAGAATATATAATTTTTATTTAAAAATATATACTTTTATATTTAAATATCTTTCTTTTTAATAAGATTTTATTATTATTAATGGCTTAAATCCGGCCTTTTAGGACCGAGGTTAACATTTTTCCATACGTATATATCAGAAGTTTGCACCTATAAGATTTGTCACATTTGTTGATATATGTACTTTTCATTGCCTAATCTCTTCAGTTTTTGGTTCCTGTTTGTTATTCTTTCTCTTTATATAAAGAAAAAGGTGACTATTGACCGTTGAATATTTTTTAACTTGTTAATTTACTTTAGTTATATGATTAGGACATGCTGGAATCACAATAAGAGGATATTGTTAGCAGTTTGAGAAAAACAAATACGGCTAGCTGTATGTTATATATTGTTATCTTAAAAGTTAAATATTGTCTTAACAAAAAGATAAAAGCTATGCGCTGCAAAGTCTACCTCAAAGATTAAGCACAGGGCACTTTCCATCTGTTTCACATTTACAGAATGTACAGGCGTGTTTGGATTATAGTTCGTAAATCATGGCACCTTCAGCAGAAAATGAATTTTTTTCAACTTAAACCATGATTTGGAGGACTTGGAATCTCTCTCGAATGTATTGTCTAGGCAAAAGGGAAAGAGATCAATGAGATAAGCAGGCCCACCCGTGTCACTTTTTCTCCTCTACCAAATGCAGCTACAAAAGAAAGCCTTGAGTGAGTCCAAAATTCTATGTGATTAATTGTACTGTCTAGCAAAAGAAAATAAGAGAGGTATAAATAAGTAGGTTTACTTATGTTTTTCTTTTCTCTTTTGCTAACAGTTGGAAGAGAGATCTTTAAGTGATTATAAATAACTAAACTATAATTTTGCCAAACAAATTATTTATAGATGAAATTCAATTTACGTTTTTTAAATCATGATGTTGGTCTAAAACTATTATCCACACGTACGCATGTAATCTAATATGTTACAGTGGATATAGGAGAGAACACATTTAATTTTGAGTGAAGAGCCTTTTTTTTTTTTTTTTTTCAAAATGAGAGACTTCAACATGTACTCAGACTCAGGAATTTAACACTGATTTTCGTTCATGATTTATAATTGTCATTAGCTCGAGAAAATTTGGACACAATTTTAATGCAAGACCTTCTACTAAATAATAAATTGACTTGACATGTTTAAATACAATAAAACTTTAAACACTTAGTCAACCCCGAACGTTTAAGCTGATTAACTGTGTTAAAATGTTAGCAATTTCCATATGGTAACATATTTTTTTCTCCTTTCTCGATAGTCGATTCTTAATGGAGAACAAATAAACCCAAAGTAGGTTAAAACTTAGTTTGCACTCATTTAAACCATGGTTTGTGTGCAAACTGTAAACCATACATTGTTACATGAGTCATTAATGGGCTTAGTTCATTCGCATGAAATGAATGCGACAGCAGAAGAAAGTTATGCGGCCAAGAACAGAATCTTTATATCTTTAGACTTGTGCTACTTTATCTCTAAGCCAAGCCTACATGGATGGAATATAACCAGGCTCATCAATTGGTCACTGAATTTCATCACCAACAATGTTCATTATTGCAGATTAATTTAAATCCTATAAATTGTTTTTCTTGAAAACATATATAATCGGCACGTTAGTGATATGATGCTGATACATTTGGAATCCTTATCATCCACGTATATCCCAAGCTGAATTTATCTTTGAAGAGCTTCCCTTTCTACTTCAGAAGCTTTATAATCACTCACCACTGCCAATACAAGTTGGAATTGGGGCCACAGCACTGATTTGTAACCGCAGATTATTGGGAGATCCATGGTGAGATTCCAAAGTCTGGATGCTTTGACATTAGTCAAAGAGAATCGGCTTAAAAAATTTTGTTCCAAAAATGTTATTTCAGCAGTTGATTTTTCGTATTTTCACTCAATAGTTAGCACTTTTATGAAAGAGTGATGAACAAAAGAATCCGAATTGAAATAAGTCCTTGTTCCCTTACTATCGATTTTAAAGTTTTAAAATATTAAAACTAATTTTTAGTTTTATAAGTTTTCATTTTTTTAATGGTTTTCTGTTTTTCAATTTTGATATCAAATTTTAAGCTTAAATTACAAAAAAAAAAAAAAAGTTATAATGATTTGCAGCAATGAGAGGAAGAATTAGTTCCGACAACTGAGAGGTGAAAATGAAGGCAATAAAGATGATGGAATGGACAGCAACTAATCATGATAATAGTAGCAGTAATAATGGAGGTATCAACAATAATGAAATTAATAAAAAAAAAATGGCAATACATTGACGATGATAGCAGCAAAATATGATAGCAATGAGGCTATATAAGAGTGGGCAATAGAGATAGCGATGGACTAGTTGTAATTATAGTAAATAATAATAATAATAGGAGTAATATTAATGAAAGTAAAAAATAATTAATAATATATGTGAGAGATATTAAAAAGTTAGTTTCGTTAAAACTAATTTGAACTAGACTAAGTAATTACCAATAGAGTTTAAAGTAGTAGATAATAATTAATTTCTTAAGCATGTTAATTAGGATTTACTTTTTACATGTATGATAAAATATTATTAGAAGAGATAGAACTTAGTTTGATAAATTCATCAATCATCTATGTCATTAGACTTCAGATTTAAGCTACAAAATACCCTTCTTCAAAAAAAAAAAACACAAGACTAAACAATTAATTGGATGGACACTCTCAATCAACTATAATTCAATCTTATAATTAAATTGACAACCTAACTACTTTGAAGTGTTTTAAAACTGTAAATATTCAGCCAAATTAACAAGTTTATATAGTTTCTAGGCGAGACTTAATATTTCGACATACAATTAAGAGCTGTGCCAACTGGTACCTTCATCAATGATATATATTTTTTTTCAGACACAGAATATAATTTAGCATCACATACTTTACGTATTTAAACTTTTTTTCATTTAGATTTACACGCATTACTTTTTTTAACAATGAACCAATTACTTTTTTTTTCATACTTCATAAATATTTTTATATATTTCATGTTTTTTATGAGATGCAAATTATTTTTATTATATATTGTTTGACAAGTCAACTCAAACAATTAGAAACCTAAATTGAAGTAATTCAGCTACTGATTTAGTTTGGTTCTACATTGTGAAATATATGAGGAAATGTAAAGAAGTGATTAACGTGTGTTGATTCAAGTGGAATGTGCTCATAAGTATATGATTAATATGGGTTTGATCTTGAAATTTATACATGAAAAAAAAATATTAAAATCCATCTCTATCTTTGATGCATTTTTATATAAGGCTGTAAAATTTCATTAAGATGCAGGAACATTGAGAACATCAGAATGAATGATATTCCAATACCACGTGACCTCTCCTCAATATATTTTGAGGAAAATATTTAGTGAACCTTTAGGAGTTGTTTGGTGTTTTGAAGTA